TCGGAAGAAACATACGAATATAGAATTTATTGGAACTGCTGACAATGGATCTCCACTTGTCCCAGGTGCTTCAAGGAGCACATACATACCAACGTTGCTAGCGTTTGTTATAACACTTCAGGTGCATGTAGCACTCTACCTTCGTCCCAAATGGTACTTCCATCACCGCGCAGTCTTCAGGAAGAACCCATAGGACGTCATTCCTTGGACACACCGATCCAATCACAATAAGGCCTTTGAAGCTCGTGTATTCCTGTGTTAAAAGTGTTTGTCTTTCAGCGTAGTAATTACCAATAATAATGGGCTATTCCAGTCACTATGCGACCGTCGCGACGGTTCTACAACCCAACATACTGTCCAATTCCTTATTAAAATGAACCAGCATGAACTGTGATAACAAATATTGACGTTGTTTAAATGGCTTGGCATCTCCGGTATCGATGTGATGTATTAATTTATTAGTTCTTTCTAAAGCATTACTAGTTAGATTATTATATAGAGTTCTTAAGTTATTAAACAACTGTTGTTTAGTTAAATCACATAGCCCAGCATCAAGCTCTGAACTTTTGGCTACGGCTTCATTAAAAAAATGGTCTAATTTATTATGCCAAGTATTCGAAGAAAAGTCTAAAGTTGAATTGAAGTACAAAAATCGATACCAAGGAACCACCAACAGTTTAAGCAATTTAACAGTATTATTAATCTTAATAGGAATTTTAGAAAAACCAGTTATGGGTTGTTTTTTCCCGTCAGCCGTGAAAACATTTTTAAATATTAAAATATATAATATAAATATATACATTAAAATATTTATTTATTTGTTCATTTTTTCCTTAAGTTCTATTTTTAATCTCGTCCAATAGCACATCGTCAAAATCACTAGGTAAAAATTCTTTTTTAATCAGTTGTTATGTTATTTTCTGACAACCATGTATGTGCGGAATACTTATAAAGGTCAAAAGCGGATTAAAAAAGTTCACTCTAGAAACATTTCTATCCATTCCACGTTTAAAAAAAATGGAATTAACTTATTGCTATGACCGTATTGGACATTAAAAGATTTACGTTAACTGATTATCATCATTGTGCCTTGGAATATTCTCACAAAACTTATTAGCATACCGGCAGAAGCATATTGCTAAACAGCGAAACAATTGGAGTTATTGGGTGCCTTATTGGTATTTCGTATACAATAATACGGTGCACACCACAACGCGGTATATGTCATTTGAACTAGTTTTCTGGCTAATCGGAAAATTACCGTCATTTAACGCCGTGTAGATCAACTAAGTATATAATTTTGTTCAAAATGTTAATTATAAGATTGGTGACTAAGTGATGGTGCGCGATTAAAGTGGACACAAAGTTGCCCTTTTGCGTGGGTCCTATATAGTGGTAGACAATAAGACAATAGTTATTCTACAAATAGACAATAATTTTGATGTATATAATATTTTACATTTATATTAAATTTTATATATTAATTTTGTATGTTGTAAAGAATATTGGTTGCTCAGCAGTCTGGTGAAACTACATCGCAAGTCTGCGAGGTGACCGTTTTCTAAAACTAAGTAGGTTAAGAAAACTTTAACATATTGTAATATTGCCGGTGATTGCGGCCTGACGTGAGGACGGCTGAAGGTATTAAATAAACGTCAAATTAACGAGTTTATATAAGTCTTATCGGTTTTCCAACGAACCTTTAAATCAGTAATAAAAATTAAATAAATATATATTAAAATCTATTGTGTTAAAACCCAAATATGACAGGGCTCTTTAAACAGGGTAAATGAGATCGTCAGGATGATGCAATGTCACTGCTCGTACCATGCAGTTCCTCCGCATGGAGGTTTTAGGATTAGGGTGGAGTGAATTTTGATGAAAAAATAAAAAAATAAAAATTTGATTTTGACTATATAACAGAAAGTTGCATTTGGGTCTTTTTAGTAAACCTCCAAAATTTGAGGTCACAGAAATAAGGTCTTGAGGTTCCTATATTTGTTTTTTTTATTTTTCCTGTATAACAAAAAGTTTCATTTAATTACCAACAACAATTCATTAAAATTTGATTCTTCTAAAATAGGTTTTTTAAGTTTCTATTTTGAATGAAAATAAAATCCAACCTTAAAAATTAGTACCTAAAATAAAGTTCATTGTCGAAGAGTTTTAACAAAATCTTGCTTTGTTTCAAACTGCGGTAAACTTTGTCGAGATGTGATTCTTGCATGTATAAATCCATCTCTTGATTCTCGTCCGCAGACTGAAGCCGAAGCTTCTGTCACCAACTTGATACATTTTTCAACTGCTTTTGTATGGGAGGGATATTTTGTTATATCGATTGTCTCAGATACATCCAAAATTATCATTTGCAACGTCTCATTTGATATTTGTCTTGTTAGTGCTGGTTCACTTATAGTGATTGTTTTCCAGTCTATTAAGTCGATATAGTATGCGGCATTTCAAATTAGGTACTTGAAATTGTCGAATTCCGTGACTGTTTTTTGGTATCTGCACTTCAATATACGCCTCAAACCCAATTTCCTAACATACTTTCGGTTATCAGTTAGCATAGCTAATAAAATATTTTCGGGATGACAAAAATAAGCATTGCGTTTAATAACCGGGTCTACTATTGCCTTTAGTTCATTAGGCAACTAACGTGATTCTTTGATCATAGTCAAAATGTGTTTTGGACCGTCCTTACACAGAGGTTTAGTTTTGATTTGGAACCAGCTAAATGCATAAACTCTAATAATATACTGAGTGAGAGCAAGTAACTCTTTGGAAGGCTCCTTAAGGAGTTTAGTTGCTACATATAGTCTCAATAAACTATTTGCGGTGGTTAGCCATCTTGATTACGCCATTTTTCCTGGTTGTCGTTGAGACAAGTCAAAAGAGATATTCCCTTTAGAAAATGCTGAAAACATTTCGTACATATACTTCTGATTTGTACTTAAACTATTTAATGTAATGTGAGGCAGTTCTACATGTATCGCTTCAAAATCAACTACCGGCATATTTTCACATGTGTCTAAAGCTTTTCCAATAACACCAGAGAAGCATCTTGGGTCATTTGTCCTAACATTAAGATGTTGCATTAAATGTCGTAAAGGTAACTCATTACAATGCAATAAGCATATGAACCAATGAACCGGTTTACCTATAGCAGTCTCAATTTGTCTTATTACACCGTTATTCAGTCCCGTGTTAACCACAGTTCCATCACAACCTGTTCTGTCACAAGCTGCAGCTAAATGTGGTAGTTTTATTCTGGCTTGCGTTTTAGGACATTTCTTTGATGTATAAGTAGAAGCTTCTAAAGAAATTTTAAAGTTCTCATCACTAGAATAAGTACTTACTTTATTTTACCATCATCCTCGGTGGTGTAGTAGTTAGCACTGCGGACTACAAGCCGAGAGTTCGTGGGTTCGAATCCCACCAGGGGTATGGTTGTTTATTTGTGTTTGTCATTGTGTATTTCTGTAATTGGGCCTGGTGCCTGTTGAAAGCACATTAAAAATAATAATAAAATAAAAAATAAAATAAAATCTGAACTTGTTCTGCCTCCTACATCCTCAATAAAAGTCAGTTTTTTTGTGTCTTTATATTTCTTTACTTTTTCGGACTCCAGTATTCTTCGAGCGATTCTTTTCTTATTCTTTTTAGTGGCTTCTATATCAATATTTCCAATCGCCATTTTCCGTGCTGTTCTTTGGTCAACTAGCTAAAAACTCGCGTTCTGATCGTGGTATTTTATTTACGCAACGGCAAAGAGAGAAATCTTCACATTTGCAAGACGAAATATCAAATAGCTTTCGGTTAGCAATTTTAAATAGATTTAGCTTTTTAAGACATTTCTTATTATATGCTGACTTCATGTTTTTCTTAATAGATTTGTACTTCTCGTTATGAACTTTTATCATGTGCAAAATCTGTTGATCTGAAACAACAGGCAATGCTCCTTTTTGCCATATACTTTTTATACTTTATATTATTATTATATTTTATACTATACTTTTTTATAAGTGCAGCTCTGGTAAACAAATAAGCTTTCATTAAATCAAATTAAGTTGGAAGAACATTGTTTTTTACTTCAGAAGGTGCACCAAATATTTTACACTGACTTTTACTACGAGTTTTAGGCATTTTCACAATTATGTAATTACAATAATAGTTTTGCGATTATAGAGAAAACACTCTTTTTATCTTTTACAAATGTCACATTTGAAACATATAGGTTTTGTGATTTGAAATGAGTTTAACGGATTAAGCATAAGCCCCACCCAAATTTTTATTAATTTTAAAACTTTGGCGTTGTCTAGGGACCTGAAGATGACGTCATATGTAACTTAAATTTTGCACACAAATTTTGTGTCTTCAAATACAACTTTTGCATGTATAGGCTTTAAAAATTTTACAAAAAAAAGTTTCACTCCACCCTAATATCCATGCTCCTTTTACAGTCAACATCATCACCACATTACTTTTTACTATGACTTCTTTTTATTATGTATATTTTATATTTAAATAAATATGTTTTGATTTCGTTTGATTGAGCCACGGATTGAGGTCCGTGGTTCGGCTCTCGCCAGAATGCATACTTTTTATTTTTTAGGAATGTTCTAGAAAATAAAGAGAACTTTATTGGAATGTCAATTAACATTAGAAAGTCGATTTCTCAGTATTGTGTATTTAAAAAAATTACAATCACCCGAACCACCTCCTACTCTACTAATATTTTTCTTGGATTATTTGCTACTTTTTCTATTATGTGATACGATATCCGCCATAATAACACATATTCTGAAAAAATTTCAACTGGCTACCTATTACGGTTCAAAAGATAGAGCCGTAGTACGGACAGACGGACGGACAACGTAGGCTTCTATGCAAGCTAGTAGCGCGACTTAATTTAAGGGTATAAAATACCAAAACATGACAAAAATTTAACAACTTTTTTTTAGTCCGCTGAAAATATTTAATTTATATCTTCTTTCTAGGGTTATTGTTGGTATAACTGAAGATACACAAGCATGCCATATTGTACGGGCGACTTTAGATGCAGTTTGTTTTCAAACTAGAGATATTTTGGAAGCAATGAATAAAGATTATGGATCACCCTTAAATACTCTACAGGTAATTCCCCTTGAGTTCCTTAACAAAACAAAAATATAAAATGTTAGTACTATAGGTAAATGCCTTGACAGTCCTGAGTATATGTCCGTTTAAAAGTATAGGACACACAGACTAAGACTCACAGACAACGGACAAAAATAAAAAAATTAAAATTCGATTACGAGTCGATACATACCTTTGAAGTTGCCCTAGCTGCCCTCCTTGTCACACTTTTACGATCCGCTGCTCGTGCGATAGGTAATCGCGTTCGCGCGATTCCCAACAAGCTCAGCAAGCTGAGCTTGGTGCTCGCTGCGGGTGGGAATCGCGCCGCGACCGGTCCACCTGGCAAGGTGGCAATTGGAATTAAAACAACCCAACCCAACGAGTGATCACTCGGGCATCCAAACCAAAGTTATCCCAAGGCCCTTTGTGTCAAAAATTTAGTCAAAAACGGGTTCAGTGACCTCGATTTACTATAAAACGACTAGTCACTCGGGTATCCGGAAACCAAAACTATCCCAAGGCTCTTTAGATCAAAAATGTTGTCAAAAACGAGTGGTCGCCAGGTATTTAGAAACCAATATCTTCCCAATGCCCTTTATATCAAAAACGGGTTCAGTGACCTCGATTTACTATAAAACGAGTGATCACTCGGGTACCCAGAAACCAAAATTTTCCCAAGGCCCTATATGTCAATTTATATCCTTGGCATAAAAACAAAAGCGAATTTGCTTTCGGCACGCGCCTAAAGAGCGGCATCCTTTTGTCTTTTGTCGGCTTTACAGCGCGTTATTAAAAAGAAGCCGCATTATTCTAAAATAATAAAAACAGAAGAATATTCGCTAGGTACTCTACTGTACCCGTAATTGTTTATTGTTTATTTGATATAGGTATTTTTGGTAGAAATAAACCATTTGGTAACAATTCTTATTTTTTAAGTACTTTTCCGCTAGATTATCGTTTATATCACGAAAATGTAGGTACATTTTCCAATAAACGCGACTTAAAAATATCACGTTTGTTCGATTATAAAAAATCGTATCTCGGTAGTAGCGAGTCGCTACCAAAGCTGGGCACGAGTACTAAAAAAAGTATTCGTAGTACTTAAAATATTTACTCGTAAGTACTTTACTCGTAAGTACATTTGCAAAGAGAGGTTACGGTTACGAGTAGTAATCGTGAAAACACGAGTAAAGAGTACGAGTACTTTTAAAAAAATGTTAATTAATATAATTGATTATTCTTTATATATTATACATACTTTGGTCCTGAGCTATAAAACTACAAATACAAATTTATAAAATTATTTATTTTATACATTAGGTACGGGGTAATCCCCTATAATGTCGCCCCATTTAACTTTTTTATTTTAAGTGTCCCAAAAAATTTAATAGTGTGGTTATTTTTTCCACAAAAATTTGAAAATTGATCAGTATACATATACAATATACATACAAATTTGGTCCACGTATAGCAGAAAAAAGGATGCAAATTTCGAGTGTCTACCTTCAACGGCCTCAGGGCTACGGCAATTTGAAAAAGAGCTAACAGACAACAGACAAAAAATAAAAAAATTAAAATTTGATTACGAGTCGATACATACCTTTGAAGTTGCCATAGCTGCCCTCCTTGTCACACTTTTGCGATCCGCTGCTTGTGCGATAGGTAAGCGCCTTCGCGCGCTTCCCAACAAGCTCAGCAAGCTGAGCTTGGTGCTCGCTGAGGGTGGGAATCACGCCGGGACTGGTCCACCTGGCAACGTGGCATGTTTGAAAAATTCGCGACTCGACCGAAACGCCTTTGATCCCCCTTAAATCATTTAAATCTCGCTTGTTTATTCAATTTTAATTTTTCTTTTATTCTGGGAATTTTTTACAAAACATGGCAACGTAGCACTGACGTAGATTTACTATAAAACGACTGGTCACAGGGATATCTGGAAACCAAAATTATACCAAGGTCCTTCAGGTCAAAAACCGGTTCAGTGACCTAGTTTTACTATAAAACGAGTGGTCACTCGGGTATACAGTAAACAATTTTTTTCTGAGGCCCTTTATGTCAAAATTTTTGTCAAAAACGGGTTCAGTGACCTTGATTTACCATTAAAAGAGTGGTCACTCGGGTATTCGGAAAACAAAATTTTCCCAAGGCCCTTTATGACAAAAATTTTGTTTGTTCAGTGACCTCAATTTACTATAAAACGAGTGGTCCCTCGGTATTGCACATTATTTTATAAAATAAAATTCCTTAATATTAATCAAACCACACATTAAAACATGCATATAATAATAATAATAATAATAATAATTTATTTGCCCAACAGAACAATACATTCCAATAATATGACAAAAATATACAATTATATGCAAATAGAGAACCTTAGGTTTCAAATATAGCTTTAGCAATAGCTAATAAATAGTTTAAGCTATTAAAAAACAAATCACATGAATGGCTTATTAAATTGTAATTGTTAGTTATAACATGAACTGGTGAGTAAGCTAACATTGCAGTATGAGCATTATTGCAATAAAACATATTACTATTACGAGAATTAAGTCTAGGAACATGTAGATTAAACATAAATAAGATATTAGAACAGTCAATCTCGTTGTGAAAAACTTTGTACAAAAATTTTAAACCAGAAAATGCAGCGAATCAACATTAAATCTTTCAAGTAATAATTGATGATCAATGCCCCTGTTTGGGTACACATTATCCAGCCTGAATGCCAGAAGTTTTAAAAACTTACGTTGAACATTTTCAAGTAATATAACTGAGTTGTTATAGTACGGAAACCAAATAATAGAGCAGTATTCAATTTTAGATCTTACTAAACAGAAGTATAAGGATTTTAAAGCGATTTCAGTTTTAAATCCACTCAAATTTCTGCTAATAAAACCTAATAATTTACATGCTTGGGAAACTAAATTTTGTATATGACTCGAGAATGTTAATTTATTATCAAATAATACGCCAAGATCATTAACACTTTCACAAAAAGAAAGAACACTATTGTTTAAAGAGTATTGGTAAGTTATCAAATCATTCTTAAGGGAAAAAGTACAAGTTTTGCATTTAGAAATGTTCAAAACTAGCTTGTTCAATTTGCACCATTGATGTACCACATTCAGATGATTCTGCAGTAAAATGCAATCTTCAACCGTTGTAATTCTAGCAAACAACTTTAAATTATCGGCAAATAGGAGATGTTTACAGTTTAACAAAGACGACAAATCATTAATAAATATATTAAACAGCAAAGGACCCAAATTTGATCCCTGAGGGACTCCAGACGTAGGAACAAAGCAACTAGACCTAAAACCATTCAAAAATACGTAAAGTTGGCGGTTACTAATGTAAGAGCGAATAAGATTACATAACGGTTTACTTAGACCAATAGAATCAAGTTTACAAAGTAAGATAGTATGATCAACTTTATCAAACGCCTTAGAGAAGTCAGTATAAATTACATCCACTTGGCCCTTTTGATCCAAAACATTGGAAGTATATTGAGTAAAATCAAACAAGTTAGTAACTGTCGACCGTTTATGAATAAAACCATGCTGAAAGGGGGAGATGCTCTGGGACATACCATTGTAGATGTAAAAATATAATGACTTCTCAAAAAGCTTCGACAAGTTGGACAAAATCGCAATGTCATGATAATTGCCCGCTTTAAAGATAGGAGTGACACGAGTAACTTTCCATTATAATGAAACTGGGTGGTAATTTTAAAGAAAATTTTTAATTTCTTACATGCCATCTGTCAATTGTTATATGTCATCTGTCATATGTCACCTGCTATCTGACATCTGTCATCTTTCATATGTCATCTGTCAACTGTCACCTGGCATTTTTCATCTGTCACCTGCCATTTGTCATATGTAACCTGTCAATTGTCCATCTGTCACCATTCATCTGTCAATTGTCATCTATCAACTTGACATCTGTCATTTATCACCTGTAATAAGTCACCTGTCATCTGTCACCTGTCATCTGTCACCTGGCATGTGTCATCCGTCACCTATCATTTTTGTAGCGTCCGTTACAATCAAAAATTGTGAGTAAAAGCTACCGTAATTAAATTAAATACTATTACAATAGTTACTATTGCAAACATGTTTATTATGCTTGTAATAATTAGGCTTAAGCTTATAAGCATCATAATTACGGTAGTTTTACTCACAATTTTTTATTGTAACGGACGCTACAAAAATTCCCGAGTAACTTGGAATGGCTGAATTATCTTTTTTCGTTTGCGAAATTTATGCAAAATCTGGCAACAATTAAATTTGGCAATGCCGCATTGTTACCTAATATTTTGTTGGACCCCCCTGTTATCGATTTGATTTCGGGGATTTTAATAGGTCAACTTTTTTAAATATCGAAGAAAATTTAAACGGGCTTTCGGCCGATTAGTTTTTGTTCCATAAAGCTCATCTTTTAGTACATTTATTTTATTTTTTTATTTTATTATTATTATTTTTAATGTGCTTTCAACAGGCACCAGGCTCAATTACAGAAGTACACAATGACAAACACAAATAAACAACCATGCCCCTGGTGGGATTCGAACCCACGACCTCTCGGCTTGTAGTCCGCAGTGCTAAGTACTACACCACCGAGGGCGGTATGTCAAACTTTGGTCTTTTACCCGTGGATTCGTGTATTTTGTTCGGCCAATTCAACCGCCTCCGAGCTACGGCGATTTGAAAAAAAAACGACTAACAGACAACAGAAAAAATAAAAAAATTAAAATTCGATTACGAGTCGATACATACCTTTGAAGTTGCCCTAGCCCTCTTTGTCACTTTTTTGCGATCCGCTGCTCGTGCTATAGGGAAGCACGCTTCGCGCTCTTCCCAACAAGCTCAGCAAGCTGGTGCTCGCTGCGGGTGGGAATCGCGCCGCGACCGCTCCACATAAACTGGTTATTAATTTTAAAGATGAATTTTAAATTTCTCACGTCTTCTGTGACCTTATATGTGTCATCTGTCAATTGACATCTCTCACCTGTCATCTGTCACCTGTCATTTGTCACTTGTCAACTGTCAACTTGACATCCATCACCTGACATCTATCACCTGACATCTATCACCTGTCATCTGTCACCTGTCAAATGTCACATACCATTTGTTATCTGTCATCTGACATTTGTCACCTGTCCCCTGTCATTTGTCTTCTGTCATCTGCCACTAATCATCTGTCAATTTGACATCTGCCACTTGACATATGTCACCTTTTATCTGTCACATGTCATCTAGATGACATGTGACAGATAAAAGGTGACATATGTCAATATCTGTCATCTGCCATTTCTCATCTTCCACCTGTCATCTGGCACCTGTCACTTTTATCTGTCACTCGTTCGAAAGTTAACCGATTTCAACGGAACCTACCAAATTTGAAGAAAAAATGGAAAAAAATCGACTTGAGCCTTTTCGGCACCGGAAAAATTTGGTCCACCGAAAGGGCAAAAATTTTGAGTGTCCACCTTGAACAGTTTCCTGGCTACGGCTGTTACACAAAAAAGGATACACAGACTAACAGACAACAGAAAAAATAAAAAAATAAAAATTGGATTACGAGTCGATACATACCTTTCAAGTTGCCCTAGCTGCCCTCCTTGTCACACTTTTGCGATCCGCGGCTCGTGCGATAGGGAAGCTCGCTTCGCGCGAGGTGGGAATCGCGCCGCGACCGGTCCACCTGGCAACATGGGAATTTGAAAAGATCCAAGGTCAAAATTGTTGTCAAAAACGGGTTTAGTGACCTCGATTTACTTTCAAACGACTGGTCACTCGGATATTCGGAAACCAAAATTATCCCAAGGCACTTTGGTTCAAAAATGTGTTTAAACGAGTTTAGTGACCTGATTTACTATAAAACGAGTTTTCACTCGGATATCCGGAAACCAAAATTATCCCAAGGTCCTTTAGGTCAAAAATTTTGGGTTCAGTGACCTAAATTTACTCTAAAACGAGTAATCACTCGCTATTTAGAAACCAAAATCTTCCCAATGCCCTTTATGTCAAAAATTTGGTCAAAAACGGGTTCAGTGACCTCGATTTACTATAAAACGAGTGGTCAAAAATTATAGAAAAAAACCGTTAAAAAATGAAATATAAATATTTGTTAGTTTTACCCATTGGGGTGAGAATAATTTATATAATATTATGGCCTAAATATGTACTCATAGGCCTCGGTAGGATTTAAATGCTAGCCCGCGCGAAGGCACCCGACCCAGCGCGCCGGCCGGGCAGGGTGCCCGGTCGAGAGGCTCTACTCCCGCTATTCGTAGTAAATTGGTAAATTAGATAATAAATAATGTTTATAAACACAAACATGTTTTTAACAATTAAAATGATCTTTTGTCCTTTATTACCTTGATTGTACACACTTTTATTGCAGCAGGTCAGTGTGATCCTCGATATTGTCGTTACAAGTACGGTTTTAATTTTCAAAAAATCATAACTCGAAAACGAAAATAGATGGACTGGAACCGTTTTCACCAAATTATTTGCCATCAAGAAAAAATTTTAAATTTATAAACTTTGTCTCGCTAAAATTACGTTTTCCGACTCAAAATGGGAATTTAAAAAAAATCTACAAAATTTTTGGGAAAAATATGCCAATTTTGAAAAAAAAATGGGTCAATTGATTTTGGATTTTGATAATATTTTATGTACGCATGTGCACCATCCGCCTACACTTAGTTACGAGTGTGTTACGGTGATACGGTTCGTCAGTTATCAACGTTTTTCTAAAATAAATCGAAGAAGAAGAAGAAAATATTTTGAATTCTTTTTCACCAATCCATTAAGAAATCCTTAATAAATTAATTTTGCTTGGAACATTTTTTTCGAATAACGATTGTAAGTATGTTAAGCAACGATCTTTTACCCTTCGATTCGTGTAATTTTTTTGCCTCATTTCGTTTTGGTTTCGGAGAAAAAAAATGCGAAAAATTTCGAAAAAAAAAATTGTTACTCGAAATGTTCCGGGCGGTTCCGGCCCGTTTTTAATCCGAAACGAATTATCGTGCCAAGCAACTTTCTCCCTAGTTTGGTCGAAAAATCTCCACTCGTTCGAAAGTTATGCGATTTTAACGCAACCTGCCAAATTTGACGGAAAAATTAAAAAAAAAATGGACTTGGGCCTTTTGGGCAGCCGAAAAATTTTGTCCACCGATGGGTCTAGTGGGCACAAAAAAATGATGCAAATTTCGAGTGGCGATACAGAGACTCACAGACAACAGAAAAAAATGAAAAAATTAAAATTCGATTACGAGTCGATACACACCTTTGAACAGTGTTGCCAGTCGTACCATTATAATGGTATTTATACCATTTTTTTTGTACTTCGTACCATTGTCAATTTATGTACCATTTTTTACGATTTTGTATCATTATGTCCCATTATTTTTTAAGCCCGTTTTATATATATGCGAATTACGAAATTCGAAAAATGATTCCATTGGACCATTTGATTTGGCGGGAAAAGCGTTTCGACGTTTCGACAGATCCTGCGAATTTGCAAGATTTGAATCTAGGGGGCGGGAATCTTGAGATAAATCCAATATATTGCGAAAATCGCACGAATTCGCAGGATTTGTCGAAACGTCAAAACGCTTTTCTCGCCAAATCAAATGGACCAATTAAAACATTTTTCGTTTTTCGCATTTCGCTTCTATATGAAACTAACTTTAGACTGAATGTTTTTTTAATTTGATGCTAATTTGGTTAATTTGTGTCCACCTTTATGGTGGAAAATGTAATTTCTTGCCTACCTATACACACTGCGCGTCGTTGGTAGGCAAGACAAATTACATTTTCCTGCGCCCTCTATTAAATGTTTGTGATATTAAACCAGAACAGCGCGCAAGTTGCACCGCGCAACCGATAAATGAGGAGTGATTTTTCAAAAGGCCTTATTTCCATTTTTACTTTAATGTAATTTTTTGACAAAATCCCAAAGGTATGGTTAAAAGGCATATATTAACGGCGAAATATGACAGCAGGTCTAAAGTATTATTAAATATTCATCAGAATTTTTTTTTTAATAATCTATATTGCCCTAACCTATACAGGTTATAGTCATTTTTTTGAAAAATTGTTGCAAATGGAAATACGACCTTTTGAAAAATCACTCCTCAAATGTTGTTCTGTAATTTCCTGAACTTCTGAATAATGTATGTATAGTGTTCTGTAAAGGAACTTCTGTGGTTTGACAGTTGGAGAACCATAAACACACGATCAAGAAAATTTTCTAAATTAAATATTTCAATGTAATATTTGGATATTTAAGAATGAAATGTGTACTATTGAAAAAATAACTTGTGTGTACCATTAAATACCATTAAATCGAGAACTTCGTACCACTTTTTGTTTTGCTTCACCTGGCAACACTGCCTTTAAAGTTGTCCTAGCTGCCCTTCTTGTCACACTTCTGCGATCCGCTGCTCTTGCGATAGGTAAGCGCGTTTGCGCGCTTCCCAACAAGCTCAGCGAGCTTGGTGCTCGCTGCGGGTGGGAATCGCGCCGCGACCGGTCCATCTGGCAACGTGGCAATTTGAAATAAAACTTTAATGTTTGAAACATTAACAAAGAATTTGGGAAATTCGGTCCAATCTGGCAACGTGGTTACTCGAAAATTAAAGAAAACAAACTGCTAATTAATGTTATGAATAAAAATACACATATCTATTTTATAAACAGCAATAATTATAAAAAATTTAATTTAAAATACTTATATTCCCTAGCTGTTTTGCCGCCGCACAGTGTGGTATTTGAGCGATCTGGGCGGTCAAAATTGTTTAGTGGTTAAATTGGGTCGAATTTTAATATCCTGCTGCTTTTTAGTACATTTAATAAAATTTAAAGAAAAATTGCTAAATATTTAAAGAAAATCAATATTTAGTCAAACAAAATTAATTATCACAAATAAAAACTTTTTGGAACTTAATAACGAGTTAGTCAGAAAATGAGTTGCCTTCGTCAGACATTAATTCAGTATCATCTTTAGTTTCCTCGTCATCAAAATTCTGTACCGTATCGCTTTTTGCTGGAAGTTCAACACAAAGCATCATTTCCATGATTTCCTTAAGAAATAGTTTAGTTTTTTTTTCGAGGTAATGGCCTCATGTCTGTTAATAATGGATCGGAAGTTAGCAGTAATCTATTTAGCACATCTTGATTACAAGAGACCCTTGAAAACTTTCTGGCAAAATTTTGACAAAACAAACGAAAATGTCTGTTTCGTGCTTCTGCAGCCTCCTCAGATAGTTGGCGTGCTTTATTACCGTTGGACTATGCATTAATATTTTGTGCATAGTCAGCGTCATAGGACACCATGAATACAGTTGCATATATAACTCTGCTGTTTCCTGGGTAAATTTTGTGCCCGCTTGATATTGTTTCCAGAATTACTTTAAAACGAAAAATTAACTTTATATCGATGCCTGTTATTTCAGCTACCAGTTCCGGATTTTCAAAAAACCTGCGGCTTGAGTTTCCGTCATTAGTATTGCCAAATCCAGTCCTAGGCATGTCTACCAATAAACCCATTTTAACACGAAAATCCTTTTGGATCTCGGCCTTCCTTTGATTTATTATGGATACATCATCTTTTTTTTTATTAATTCTTCCTTTTTTCAGCGGCAATCTGTACGCCACGTGTAACAAACTTTCAAGTATGCGGATCCTAGCGTGCAAGATAGATAATCCAAATTTTAGCGCCTTTGGATTAACTTCTTGTTTTGTTTTTAAATCGTTGAAATGTTTTGAGGTTAATCCGCATATATAACAACGCAAAATGGATGTCGTCTTTGTAGCGGCATTACACACCTTACCATCGACCATGGTGGGAATCATTATATAAGTGACATAATAAGTCTTGTCCTGTATTGTTATCATAGAAACTTGTAAAGAATTAGTTGCATTTTCTACATGCTCGATTTCTTGAAGAGTAATATCAGTTGTCTACAATATCGTGGCGATGACGGTAATGGATTCTGCCAAATCGCCAGAACATATGAGCTGCAGTGGCACAAATGAGCTTTGAAATACGTTTGCATCCGAATAGGCCACATTGCCATGTCTGCTTATATTGAGCTTGCTGAGATCCGTCACAACCCCATTTGCATCTCATTTCTAGTGAGTTTCTTTCTTCTTCATCTAATGTTTCTAAACCTTGACCCAATACATTAACAATCTTTTCGAAGTGTGATCGAGTAACGCTTGAATATTAATTTCTGCACAAGTCTCATTCAATTGATTAACTCCTTATCCGGATAGCATTCGATTTTGATGTTGTATAATGCTATAGCAGGGATATAGTTTTTTGTTAGCATTTCTTATGGTTTCATATTGGCTCCTGGAAAGGTTGGCTTCAACAAACAGCGACAGGGCTTGTGTAGGCGTCATTTGAGATCCTGTTTTATCCCCCTGCTGACTTACAGAATATGCTCGTTTGTATTTTGTAGCCCGTTTCGGTGAAGTAATTATTTCTTTAACTATTTTGGCAGCGTCCCTTTTTCCAGAAGCTGATAATTTTACCTGAGTAGCATGAGTCAGTACCTCCACATCTACACTGTTCCTTAGTTCTTCAGTTTTTCTTCTTTTTGATCTCTTACTTAATTCTTGAAATAATTTCTTAGGCCGCCCTGGTCGACTAGTAACTTTCAAAATTGTAAATTAGCCTTTCAACCAATCTTTATTCTTTGACGTTTGATGGACCCAAGAGAAAAAAAAATCATTAGAAACATAAATCAAGATTTGCTAAATAATTGTCATTTTGAACCTTTACAGTTTGGACACTCTAATTTCCAAAAACCAAGTGATTCCGTGGCAGTTTTAAGCAAAGTCGTAAACATGAATAATCATGATATATGATACAAGTTTTTATTATGCCGGGAAATTCCAGAAAGTATAACTAATTTGGTCCTTTTTAAAAATTATAAGCCAAACCAAAAGCAATAACAAGCTATTTTAAATTTCACATATAAGGCTCATAATAGAAACTAATCTAATCTAATAAAAATATCTGAAAAGTATGCTCACTTACCTGCCATCGTTTAATCCAAAACAATACATTTGAAATTAAAATCCAAAACAAAACTATCACTTTTGAAAAATAATAATTTTGAAGTAACGCCGCAAACGACAATTGCACTTCAAATGTCAAAAGAGTTTCGACTGACCGTGAAGGTATGTTTACACGTGTGGGACGGTAATAATGGAAGATTATTGTTCTCCTATAATCATTCTTTCGCGGAATAATTTGTTTTTCTACCAGAATTTACTTTTTAAAAATCTATTTTTGACCGCCCAAATCGCTTAAATACCCCGCTGTACGCCGGTGCACTGGCGGTGTACAGATACAGCCTATATCGTACAAAATACACATTTTTCTTTCCAATATTTTGAAGGTTTTCTTATTATGTCTCTCCTTTATATTGTGAACAATAACCTGTTATCTGCCACCTATCATCTTGACATATGTCATCTGACATCTCTCATATATCACCTGTCATCTATCATCTGTCATCTACCACCAGTCACCTTTCATCTTTCACCAGTCATCTATCACCTGTCACCTGTCATCTGGACATCTGTCACTTGACATATGTTACCTGTCATTTGTCATCTGACACCTCTCCTCTTGACATCTGTCAAAGTGTTGCTAAATACTTTGTTGGGTTCCCCGGTATATGATTTGTCAAAAAAATTAAATTGACTTTAATTCAAAGATCCACCTGTTAAATGAATTTTATTAATTATATTTTTGTCACTTGACGTATGTCACCTGTCCACTTGACATATGTCAAAGTGTTGCTAAATACTTTGTTGGGTTCCCCGGTATACGATTTGCAAAAAAAAATTAAATCGACTTTAATTTAAAGATCCACCCGATAAACGATTTTCATTAATTATATTTTTCGTTTGGGAAATTTATGAAAGATCTGGCAACACCGCAATTAAATTTGGCAATGCCGCATTTTTACCCAATATTTTGTTGAATCCCCCTGTTTTCGATTTGATTTCGGGGATTTTAATTGGTTAACTTTTTTAAATACCCAACAAAAATTAAATTGGCTTTCAGCCGATTAGTTTTCATTCGATGGAGCTCATCTTTTAATATATCAAACTGGTCTCGTGTATTTCGTTCGGTCAATTTCGAAAATTTCTCTCGCCCTACAAAAAGTTTGAAAATTTTTCGAAAAAAATCAAAAAAGTTCGCTGCTCGAAAAGTTTCCGGCGGATCCGCCCTGTTTGCAATAAGAAAGAATTATCGTCCCGAAGCACCTTTTCCTCGAGTTTGGCCGAAAAATCCCCGCTCGTTTGAAAGTTATGCGATTTCAACGGAAAGTGCAAAATTTGACGGAAAAATGGAAGATACGGCGGTTCGAAGAAAACCGATACACAGACAGACTCAGAAAATAAAAAAATTAAAATTCGATTACGAGTCGATACATACCTTTAAAGTTGCCCTAGCTGTCCTCGTCACTTTTTTGCGATCCGCTTCTTGGTGCTCGCTGCGGTGGTAATCGCGCCGCGACCGGTCCACCTGGCAACGTGGCATGTTTGAAAAATTAAAAAGAATTTAAGAAATCCGGTCCAACCTGGCAACGTGGCTAGTCGAACTTTCGGTCGCTATAGGGAAGCACACTTCGCGCGCTTCCCAACAAGCTCAGCAAGCTGAGCTTGGTGGCACCAAGTTGGTGCTCGCTGCGGGTGGGAATCGCTCCGCGACCGCTCCACCTAAACTGGGTATTAATTTTAAAGATAAATTTTAAATTTCTCACGTCTTCTGTCACCTTATATGTGTCATCTGTCAATTGACATCTGTCAACTGTCATCTGTTACCTGTCATTTGTCACCTGTCATCTGTCACCTGTCATTTGTCACTTGACATATCGACGGTTATTTGACAAAACATCGTAAGCGACAAAACCTAAATTTTACAGGAGAGATTTTTTATGTGTGGGAGCTTTATTTTTATGTTATTTATCTGAAAACTGGTGAGGCATTATTTTATTAATGTAGAATTCAAATATTTAAGTAAGATCGAATCCAATCTAAAAGTTTTATTAAATTTTGTGGCATACGATATTTTATAAGAATATCTTTGGAAAAATGTAAAATTTGTCTTGTCGCTTAAGTTACATTTACGTTACTTTGTGGGATATAGATTTGATGATTACTTTTGTCAAAACATCGTCAGCGACATTTATTTTTTTACTTTTATAATTAAATAAAAAAAAATTACAAAAAAATTTATTTATAAAATTTCACCAACGATATTTTGCCAATGTTTGAAAATGAAATTCTACATAACCTTCCTTGAAAAAAAACCGAAAGATATTTATTCACAAACCAGTATCTAACCCATGGAGCCTACACAACTACCGAACTTAATAGGGGAAATTGACAAAACCTACCCTCTAAATTGTACAAATTAAGTTTCTTTTTTTCACCACCAGTGGCGCTGATTGTCGATTGTCGTTTCGGTACAAATTAAACAATTGTTTCAGAATAAACGGAACACCAGCGCCCTCTTATCTTAGGAAGATTCTTATTTACATGATGTTCGGACTCCTTGTGTAGGCTCCATGATCTTTCCCATGGTACGATAATCTAACCTTTATAAATTTGAGTCAAATTATTTGACGCTGGAACAACATACAATTACTACAAAAAACACTTTTAACGAACCACACTGCGTACAAACAAATATATTTAGTAGAACTATTAATAATGCAATGAAAAAAGGAATTATAAGGTTTTGATAAAATAAAATATTGTTTTAAAACTTGGTAGCAATCACTCACGAATAAACTGTTTAGAGCGGGAATAACGCCTTGATAGATCAAGGCGGGAGCACAATATTATCGTAAGCGACAAAATGTTAAATCGCAAACGCCATGTCTCGGAGTTGCTTACGATTATTTGTCTGGAACATATAGGCGCTTACCTTATAAATTGGTAACAAATTAAAAATAAGAGGCGCTATTTTTGCAAGAATGAGCTTATTAGATTATGCGAAATAACTAAGAAAAACACCGTGGCAATGATCATCGATGGAATACAAGACTCTGCCATACAAAACGGTGCCAAGGCTTTAATAATCCTAAAGAGTTATATCGGGAATTTCTCTCAACGTTGGCCCCTGTGGAACGTCCACAGTCTAATAAAGAGAAAGTCGAGAAATCATTTCCTAAACACGACTCAAACTACAAATTCAGGAAGACCACTGCCGTGGCAACGTTAAACTCACGCTTTAAATGCTTTAATTGTGGAGAATTTGGACACAAATCGACAAACTGTGCAAAAACACGACTAGAATGCAGAAAGTGCAAGCGATTGGGACACATTGAGGCAAATCGCAAATCACGCATGACTGGACAAAATGGTGGATCTACTAAGAACGTTTTTACACTAGAGCTACCATGAAAATTGTTATATTGTTCCGTGTAAAGTGAATGGCTTTACATGCAACGGATTCATAGACACCGGCTGTGCGGCGGTCACTTTTAGGCGTTCTGATGCAAAACGTTTCAAAATTGATTGGGAAAGATTTGACATTCAAATCGTTGGATATGCTGGAGGCAAATGCAGAGACGGGTTCAAATGCATTATTGCCATTGAGGTCGACTTGGTACAAATTGACGTCAAAGCTATTATAGTTGATCATATACAAAAAATACCCTTGATGATAGGTCAGCCTTTATTAAATCAAGCAAAATTTGCACTGATTATAAGGGACGGCAAAGTCAGGATATTTAAATCAGACTCACTCGAATTGCCACAGATTGATAAACTACCACCAAGTAACATTAAAATGATGGTGGGCAAGGATTTGGATATTCCTCCAAATCATATTGGATATGTCAATTTCATCACTGATTTTGACT